TGTAAAACTATATTTATTCTTTAAAAAATTAATTTTTTGTGGATATTTTTGGGTGTCTGGAATGAATTAATTGTATTGGCATTATTTCTTATGGGAAAAATTGATTCAGTTTTCGCATGTTTCAGATTTCGGACCACCACCTGGAACGGATTAAGTTTGAAAACCGGGATTCCACTGTACTATTAGGAAAAAAAACACAATGAAAAAGGAAATAAAACCTGAGCACTTTCATGTGCTTGCACACACATCTTCAGAAGATGTTTGTGTAAGCACATGAAAGCACTCAGGTTTTATTTTCTATTTTCACTGTGGTATTTTTGTTTTTTTTTCAAATTTGCAATCACGCATTTTGTGATTTCTTCCGTACTATACTATATACATATCAATGATAAGGTTTCATTTAGAACATGTAGGACAGTCCTGGTCTCCATATTAAACTAGCTAGCAATTCAAAGAGGAAATTTTAGACAACATTTCGATCCATCCAGGTAAAGGTCCATGAAGGAACAAAATATCATCCAAAGTTTCCTCTCCAAATTTTATATTAGTTGTGAAAAAGAATGGATACAAGTGGACTGGAAAGTATACATATAAGACATCCAGGTTAATCCCTTGTATTGGTAATAATTCATACAAAGTTATACTAAAAGCACAGAACATGTACTCACGAAATGCACAGAAAGAGGGTTGTGTGATAAAAGTATACAAGTGAAAAATAGGTAATATGAACTACTGGAAGTATGTAACAGAGGTAGCCTTTACAAAAATGGACTTAAGTTGGATAAATTTAGATTTAGAAAAACATAAGAGCACTGGTTTGGTAATATAGTTATAGACGAGTGGAACAAATTGACAGTAAGAGAAAGTAAGACCTGTCCAGCATGAGCCTGGAGGTATAGTGTAGTGTTCCTTAGTTCTTAGGCTTTGTCAAGACATTCTTGACAAATCAATGCCATTTTTAAATCATTCAGGATAAATTACTTAAACTATATTGTGTATCACAAAATGCCAAGACATACATGTATCAATGTTTAGGGAAAATACTTGAAGCACTTAAACGTTTTACAATTGCACCCTAAATACTCCAACTGATACAGATATATGGGATGTAAATCTTCCAAGTAAAGCTTTTTCTATCTAGACGGCAGTTTCTTAGCCTATGTATTAGTAAGCAGAGGGTTAATGAGTAGATTTATACATGTACATGTTTTTAGAAAGCAACAAACATGTCAGATTATTATTTAGTGGTAGCTACAATAAGTTTAAGGGGTATATAGAGTACAAAACAAGCAGCAGTGGCTAGGAGGGAAGTGAAAGTAAATGAATTAAGGAAGGAAACATTTTTGGGAAACATAAGCAACTATTTGGGGAAAGATGAACTAGAGAAAGTGAAGAAAATGAGGGTGAAGAGATAGGGAGTAAATTTAAGAATGCACTGCTAGAGTGTAGAGCAGAGATTTGTGAGTATAAATGTGGGGGTAAGGGTGGGAAAAGGAATGATTGGTAGAATGAGGAAGTAAAGAGGGTGGTAAGGGAGAAAAAAAATTACACAAGATTTTTGCAATGGAAAAATGAGACGGAAGGCAAATTATACAGAGAAGAGGAGGGAGCTTGGAAGTGGTGAGGAAGTGTAGAAGAGCCAATGAGAGAATGGGTGAATGTTTATCAGAAAATTATGCTGAGAATAAGTTAGAGATGGGTAGGAGGGGATTTCATGGGGCAGGGAGGAATAACAATATATATGGGTGAAAAGCCTACAGTGGATGTCAGCAAAGTCCATGAGGCAGTGGATAGAATGAAACTGGGTAAAGCAAGTGAGTTAGATGGGATTATGACAAATGTTAAAAAGCAAGTGGGGATATACAGTAGTGTTGGAATAGTTGGTGTATTTGTTCATTATATGCACGAAAGAACGAAATCTACTAAAGGATTGGTAGAAACCTTATACAGTTTCCTATTATAAAGAGAAAGGTAGATAGGGTACAAGAAGAATGTCATCAAGAAAAGAGAAATGAAAGTTTATAAATCAAAGATAGCTTAGGTACAATATAAGCAACTGTTGAGAAAACTGTGGACTAGAGTACAGGTAATGAGCAGGATGTCAATGAGGTACAGGGTAGGTTTAAATATGCACTCGTAGTGTGTGCAGCAAAAATTTGTAGATATAGGAAGGTGGGTACAGAAGGAAAAATGAATGATTGGTGAAATGATGAGGTAAAGAGAGAAGGGAGAAAAAATTACCATATGAAATGTATTTACAAAGCAGAAGTGATATAAGGAGGGTGGAGTATGTGAAGATTGAAAGATGTAGAGTGGTGAAGGAATGTAAAAGGAGAGCAAATGAGAGTGGGTCAGGTTTTGTCAACAAATTTTGCTGAGAATAAAAAAGTTTTGGAGTGAGATTAATAAGATGAGAAAGCCTACGGAACAAATGGATTTAACCCTTTCAGGGTCGCCAGGCCCTCTCCGAGACTTGTTCTCAGGGTCGCCCAAATTAAAAAAAAAAAAAAAAAATCTTATGAAAAGATAGAGAATCTTTTCCCGATCATAATGACACCAAAAGTATGAAATTTGATGGAAAAGTTACGGAATTATGCTCTCGTGAACTTAGCGGTCTCGACAATGATTACGCATCGGCGATTTTGCCCACTTGGAGCCCCATTTTCAGCCAATTCCAGTGTACTAGTCGACAAAAATCATAACTATTTCGCTAGAACTTCACTTTTTCTATCGAATGAGTACAAGAAACCACCCATTTACCAATTTCAACTATCCAATACACTGTGCACGCTGACCACATAGACCCATTCTTTCATATGTAGGCCTACCAGCTCTCTCACTAGATTCGAGGGCGCTAGAATTTAGGCGTACTAGTACGTCAAAAACCCTGGTGCGTAAGCCATACTAGTACGTCCGAAACCCTGAAAGGGTTAACAGTTAAAAAGAGGGGAGCTATCAGATGGGGAGGTGCTGGTAATGGGGATATGGACAAAAATTTTGAGCTGTTGCATGTTAATGAGAGGGAGGCAATAATTTCATGCATTGGGTATGTAAGTATAACTTTTTGTAGGAGTGAAGGACAGCCAGAAGCGAATGTGGGAAGGTGCACAAGGCATTGGGTAGAATGAAAGGGGGTAAAGTAGCTGAGATTGATGGGATCAAGAGAGAAATGTTAAAAGCAGATTGGTGCATTTGTTCAATAAATATATGAAAGAGGGGAAGGTACCTATGGATTGGCATAACACGTATAGCTCCTTTGTACAGAGGAAAAGGGGATGCAAGAAAGTGAGAGAGTTAGAGAGAACAAGTTTGTTGAATATACCAGTTAAAATGATTGGGTGATGTATTATCGAAATAGTTATTAAGGGTAAGACAGAGAGCAGGATAGCAGATGGACCAGAAGGATTTAGGAAGGGTAGGGGACGTATAGGCCAAGTGTTTACAGTAACATACGAGCAAACAATATTTAGATAAAGGTAAGGAGGCTTTTGTTGCATTTGTGGATTTAGAAAAGGCATATGATAGGGTAGATAGGGGAGTAATGTGGCATGTTGCAAATATATAGAATAGGATGTAGGATATTAAAAGCAGTTAAGGTTTAAAGCAGCAAGGCTCAGGTTAGGGTATACATGAGAGGGGGATTATTTCCAAATGAAAGAATGACTTAGACAGGGATGCTTAAACAACTTGGCTGTTTAACATAATAGATGGGTTTGAAAAAAGTGAATGCTCTTTGCTGATGACAGTTCAGTTCTTTTTCAGTGCTTTTTTAAGTGTATTTTTGGGGGCCTGAAACAGACTAATCTAATTTACATTATTCCTTATGGGAACAAATTCGTTCAGTAATGGCATGCGAACAGCCTTCTGGAACGAATTATGGCCGAAACTCGAGGTATCACTGTACACCTTTCACATCTTTATATCTAAGATTGTATATTCTTCTCCAGGTGAAATATTAATTAATGTATCAGAGGGCTGATGAGGGGTTGTTGAGGTGATTTGGTCATTTAGAGAGAATGGATCAAAGTAGAATGACATGGAGTATAAATCTGTAGGGGAAGGAAGGCGGGGTAGGGGTCGTCCTCGAAATGGTTGGAGGGAGGGGGTAAAGGAGGTTTTGTGGGCGAGGGGCTTGGACTTCCAGCAAGCATGCGTGAGCATGTTAGATAGGAGTGAATGGAGACGAATGGTATTTGGGACCTGACGAGCTGCTTGAGTGTGAGCAGGGTAATATTTAGTGAAGGGATTCAGGGAAACCGGTTGTTTTTATATAGCCGGACTTGAGTACTGGAAATGGGAAGTACAATGCCTGCACTTTAAAGGAGGGGTTTGGGATATTGGCAGTTTGGAGGGATATGTTGTGTATCTTTATATGTATATGCTTCTAAACTGCTGTGTTATGGGCACCTCTGCAAAAACAGTGATTATGTATGAGTGAAGTGAAAGTGTTGAATGATGATGAAAGTATTTTCTTTTTTTTGAGGATTTTCTTTTTGGGTCACCCTGCCTCAGTGGGAGACAGCTAACTTGTTAAAAAAAAAAAAAGTAACTAGCAATCATACTGGATTCTAATATTACGTATGCTTGGTTTACCCCGTGGTATGTTGATTAAAGCAGGCTCTCCAGCTTTGTGCACTTTTGCACTAAGTTATCATCTTAACTTAGTGAATAGTTGAAGACAGCCAACACTAACAAAAATATTTACATGCACTTAGCACACTTTTTGTACCATTACAGGAGAAAGCTTACATTAAACTGTACTCTAAAATTTAGATCAGATATAAATGCAGTTGAGTATTCTGGATGAATGAGAAATGAATCAAGCAAAATAAGTGCTCATTTAGCTATTACTAATAACAATTTACCCTTTTGTAGCAACATCAAAGCAAAAAGAAATTAAAACACTATAAATGCTAAGCTTGCACGCTTGAAAGTATTATTGCCCGAGTAATAAAATCTTTACAATTCTTGCACTGCGGCTTGAATGCGGAAGGGCCCACCTGTTGCCAGGGGTCTCCACTGTAACTCCGCGTCCCCTACTTGTCCGCACCTCACGCTTTTTTATTGTCCGTCTCTTGGCCTGGAATACAAATGGTTAAATTTTTTATTGTAGAACTGATTATACTCTTAAGTCACAATAATATTAAGACTAACTTATTCAGAAGTGTCTTCTGTAAGGGGTCATTTATAAATACAGCAAATACCTTTAAGCATTTCTGGTCATGAAGCACCTATAAACTGAAACCAAATCAATTACAGCTGAACTTGATGAAAATACCTACTATTTTTCCCTAAGGTACAGAGATGACGCCCAATGATCATACAAAAACGTGAAGCACAGAACAGTAATGAATAAATGGCATGAGTACTGTAAATAACAAGGCCACTGATACAATATAAAACCTAAGGAACAAGAATAAGTCTGGAATACTGTTATGGGGACACCAATATTTACTGACATAGGATATGTGGCAGCATCATTTAAAATTACTTGTTGAAACCTACTACTTAACCCTTGAACTGCCCTGACCCCCCAAATTAATACTGCTCTAAGTGTCCACTTAAAAAACTTCTGAAATAGCAAATCTTTTTCTGAAGACAATAATAACAAAAGTATGAAATTTGATGGCAAACTTATGGAATTATGCAGGCACAAATTTGGTATTTTCAGTGCTATTTACACATTGGTGATTTCACCAAGTCTGAGTACTATCTTAATACAATTCCACTGCTCCAATCAATCAAATTCTTAGCTATTTCACTAGTATGCTTGTCACTCTATCGATGAGAACACGAAATTCCCCATTCAACTATTTCAAGTACCCGATAAAGTGCACAGTTTGTAGTTTGACCAATTTTACACAAAATTAAAAAATACCAATTTAAAAATAGTCCAAAATAAACAATGTAGACATTCTTGGCACTAAAACATTTCCTCTGTTCATTAGTCATGTCCCCAGGCCACTCCTATATTACACTTGCCTTCCATATTAAATTCATAATCACACAAATAAAAGACTTATTCTATTTCTTGGATAATAAAATATAACCAGGAATAACTGGTCATGGTTTAGCATCCCAATAACTGGATCAGACCCCCATCCCTTCCTGGGGAAGGGATGGGGGCTTGGGGGCCTTGCACATCCTCAGGAAAATCAGAAGGAATATTTTTGTACTTTGAGCTCAATTTCAAGCTACTTCCAGTCCTGAAAACAACCAAAGTTATCTATTTAGGTAGTATGTCTTTCATTCTATCAAATGATACCGAGAAACAGTCATAAAATCCATCCAAGAAAACACCTCAAAGTGACTACTTTAAACTAAACACATGGTCAGTTTTGCTTTTTCCATCATGCACTGCATGACTTTTTTTTTATACTTCGCACAGACCCATCTTCTCATATCTAGGCCAAAATTTACTACTCGCAGCTTGTCATCTGAACTCATATTACACAGAGCTATGTGGAGGACTCTGGACTCAATGACAATTCTACATGATGGACAATGAAAGGGTTAAGTAGGACTTAATACAGTAGTAGGAATGACTTTTGAGTCAGTACTGATTCCATTTTGAGAGTTTGTGGTCAACAGTGTCAAAGGTCTCCTGTCAGTCAATAATATGCCAACTGGGTATTCATTCTTATCAAGTGTTGTATAGACAAGGTCTAATATTTTTATAATTTCATCAGTTGAACTCTTGGGTTTGAGTTTATATCGGCATGCAGAGAGAATTCTGTGCTTGGCTTAACAAAAAAAACTTTTGTTTATGTATGAATTTTTTCAAATATTTTTGACAACAGTACTGGCAGGATTAAAACTGATCAACAGTTTTTATGTCAGAAACATCTCTACATTTATGGACTGGGGTTATTCTTAGCTATTTTGATGTTTGAAAAAGTTTCCAGGTTAGGTGATTTAACCCTTTCAGGGTCAACAGGCCCACTCCCAGACTTGTTCTCAGGGATGACAAATTAAAAAAAAAAAAAAATCTTATGAAAAGATAGAGAATCTTTTCCCGATCATAATGACACCAAAAGTATGAAATTTGATGGAAATCTTACAGAATTATGCTCTTGCGAAGTTAGCGGTCTCGATGATGTTTACACATCGGCGATTTTGCCCACTTTGAGCCCTATTTTCTGCCAATTCCAATGTACTAGTCAACAAAAATCATAACTATTTCGCTAGAACTCCATTTTTTCTATCGAATGAATACGAGAAACCACCCATTTACCGATTTCAACTATCCAATGAAGTGGTCAGAATTTAGCATTTTTGCCAATTTCACACAAATTTCAAAATATGCCAATTTCCAAATAAGGTCCAGAATAAACAAGAAAGATATTCCTGGAACTAAAATAACATTTCCTCTGTTCATTTGTCATGTCCCCACACCCCTCTTACATTCTTTTGCTTTCCACTTAGAATTTTTATTCTAACAAAAAATAGAAGATTTACTGTTATGCAGACTACCGCATTAGTGTAGAAATGGTATAAATAATATCAGCGCACTTTTGAAAGAATATTAGACTCGCCAGTTGACGTGTATTGGACGCGTAGCATGATTTGTTTACTTTTGAACTTTGGCAAAAATTGAAGATTTATGCTACTTTGAACTCAATTTCAAGGTACTTTTCATTGTAAAACCAATCAAAATCATCTCAATTTCTGTAACATGTCTTCCATTCTATAAAATAAGACCAGGAAAACTAGAATACCCTCATAAATACCATATGAAAATACAGTGCAAAGTCGGTTTTAAACCAAAAACACTGACAAAGTTTTTTTTTTCTCATTACTCACTGTGTGCTGCAGGTTTTTTTTTTAGACTGTGCACACTGACCACATAGACCCATTCTTTCATATGAAGGCCTACCAGCTTTCTCTCACTAGATTTGAGGTCGCTAGAATTTAGGCATACTAGTAAGTCAAAAACCCTGGTGCGTAAGCCGTACTAGTACGTCAGAAACCCTGAAAGGGTTAATAAAATAAAATATAATTGCTGTTATCACAATACTTGCATTGCCTTCTTTTATATACCTGTTATTTCAGATTGATTATTTCCTATGTTTTTTAGTGATTATATATTTCTGAGGCAGTGACTGGTGGTAAGCACATGAAACTGGGGTAGTTGTTAGTAGTTGGTTTGGATCTGAGGGTTGTCACCTGCTATCTTGATAAAAAAAAAAACATTGGATTTATCTGTCATATTAATGTACAAGAAGGTATACGAATTAGTATTTACTGTGTGTTGTACATTTCTTGTGGATTTTGCTTCTTCCTAGAATATGAGAAAAGGTTTTCCAGATACTTATTATGTTACCTTTAGTTCCATTTCATCTTTTAGAATAGCATGCCTGTTTTTATCTATTATTTAACCAATTAAGTGTTGTAGATCATCTTTTAGATATTCTTTAGGAATGCCTACACTTTTCTCTCAGGAATTTTTATCAATAGATCTGAATATGCCTGCAGTAAGCCAAGGATTTTTTTTTGCCTTTTATATTTTATTTTGTTTAGTCAGTGGTAAACTTAAGAGAGTGCAAAGAATATCAAGAATAGTACCTGAGCTAAAGAAAGTGAGCCAAAATAAAAATTAAGCATATACAATCATGACATACAAAATTCTACATGGAATAGACAAGGTAGACAGGGATAGGCTTCACTAGAGTTGCAAAAAGAACAAGGGGACATGGAAATTATGTACCTAAATCAGTCACAGGAATATTATGAAGTATCTCTCTAAGGTAGGCTTTAAACAAGTGCAATGAGCAGAGAAATGACAGTGAAAGTGAACTACATGAAGGGGTTCAAATATACAACAGGGCACAATCATGTTAGCTGGTCAAAAGTTTGATGGAGGACAAAGAAATGGAGCTCATCCCTCTACCCACAACCTCAACTGGAAATTACAAACTTAAACACAAAGGCAATAAAGCTAACACTATATGAAGACTTGGTATCACTGTGCCCTTTCACATGGCCTCTTCTGCTATCACATACAGTAGGGCCCTGCTTTACGGCGTTTCACTTTACAGCGTTCCGCTAATACAGACATTTCAAATTATGACCAAAACTCTTCATACGTCCCCCCCCCCCCCCATCTGACTTTCTAATACGGTCACCGTGCCCCACCCGGTTTGTTTACATTCTCCGCAAGCATGACTATCCATTATGTCTGGAAACTTTCCAAAATTTCAAGTGTTTTAAAGTTATTTCATATACTCTGATAATTATACTTATGTTCACCTGTACCTATAGAAACTTACACACTGTGCTGGCATGCAGGTACACATTAAAATCAATAAGTGTCTTATTAGTCTTGAAGATGCCATAATAATAATAATAATAATCACTCTGATGCGCAATAAATGTCGTATACGTATTACGTTAATATAAACATATTCATTAATCCATCTACGAAATTTTTTTCAAAATTATGTAATAAACACGCAAAGTAACATATAAACATGATAAATATATCCAAAGTAAAATAAATTAACATAAATATGAGATGTTTTTCCAGTCGTCTTGTCATAGTGTTGGAAAGAATAACGTTTTCTCTAGTTCAACACCAAAGAAAATGTGTACACAATAGTACTACCGGGGTAAGTGTAGAAAATTATTCCTTTCATATGCCTTCACTCAGAGTGTCATTCCTTCTAAAAATGGTGTGTTACATGAGAATGGGAGTGTTGCTCTTCATTTATTCTACTTTACCAACATGGAGACAACTTGTACACAATGTAAGGTGTTTGTATTATGGTACAAGATTCACAGACATGGGAATGAACGTGTATCAACCAAAACCATACGCGTTCGTCTGTTTACTCATTTATTCGTTTCTATATCGTTTACTCACCTCTCGCCCTACATTAAGACACAAATATTTTAAGGTAACGAGTGTACTGTATATGCATTTTATTGCTCTAGGGTGCTTTACATGTCGTAGTGGGTGGGGTGGCCAGGCAGGCTACAATATCTACCACACCTAACTTCTTACAATAAATATTACTCACCTCTCACCCTATATTACGACTACAAATATTTTGAAGTAATGAGTGTACTGTGTGTGTATTTCACTTTTTATTGTTTTTAATGATTAGTTCTACTAATAACTTAATGTATGCTAGTGCAAACCTGTTATCTAGCATTTATATGCATTTATAAGTGGAAAAAAATGGTGTTCTGCTTATCGGTGATGTCCACTTTGCAGCGGTAGCCTGAAACCTAACCTGCCATATAAGTGGGGCCCTACTGTACTTTTGTGTTACAGTGAATTTACCAAGATTACATACACAATGTATCCAAGTAAAATGGATAGAAAGCAATGGCAGTAACTTAATGTGCCTCACTGTAATAGGGTACAAATGCACACATAAAAAAAAATTAAGCAGGAGTTCACTGACAACTCACCAATACTGTGGGACGGCCACGTGTACACCGCGACACTCTGTTTGGTTCACCTCTGGCTTGCATAGTTCCTCCACCATCCCTGCTATTACCACCATACTGCTATTTTGGCAAAATATTACATCATTATTTCTATATAATGAAAAAATATGACTAAAAAAATAAATTCATCATTATTACTGTAGGTGTGTACTACATTTTCATAGTGCTCTAAAGGGGGGTTAGCTTACAGAACTAAACTAAAATTCAATTATCAGCAAATCAAAGTCTACCATAATTTTACCAAGTGATTTTTCACTTTAAACTTCTTTACTGTTTGCAAAATAAAATACGCTTTCTCATTTCAATAAACAGTATGGTGTGGTTACTTGTTCCAATTACAGTGGACCCCAGAGTTTCGTGAGCCTTGTACTTCGTGGATTTCGACTTTTGACAACTTTTTTCGTCAAAATAAAGCCCAGCGGTTCGTGATTTGCCTCGTGATTCGTCTTTCATACGGAACGCATCTGTGCTGCTGGGAGCAGCCAGGTGTACACAAAGGCTCCCACACAGCATTCAGGAGTTAGTATGGCACTGTTTGTGGACGAATGACCATCACCCCACGCGTTCATACGATACATTTTGTAATAATCCATTCTTTACTGTGCTTGCAACTGCTAAATATGCCACCATGGGCCCAAAGATAGCTTCTAGTGCCAGCTCTTTGGTAAAGATGGTGAGAAACATGATAGAAATAAAGAAAGAAATCATCGCAAAATATGAAAGTGGAGTGTGTGTGGCCAACCTCAGCAGGATCTACAGGAAGCCCCATTCAATGATCACTTCCATCGTGTCGAAGAAAAAGGAAATCAAGGAAGCTGTTGTTGCGAAAGGGGGAAGATTTTTTTTTTTTCAACAAGTCGGCCGTCTCCCACCGAGGCAGGGTGACCCAAAAAAGAAAGAAAATCCCCAAAAAGAAAATACTTTCATCATTCAACACTTTCACCACACTCACACATTATCACTGCTTTTGCAGAGGTGCTCAGAAATACAACAGTTTAGAAGCATATACATATAAAGATACACAACATATCCCTCCAAACTGCCAATATCCCAAACCCCTCCTTTAAAGTGCAGGCATTGTACTTCCCATTTCCAGGACTCAAGTCCGACTATATGAAAATAACTGGTTTCCTTGAATCCCTTCACTAAATATTACCCTGCTCACACTCCAACAGATCGTCAGGTCCCAAATACCATTCGTCTCCATTCACTCCTATCTAACAAACTCACGCACATTTGCTGGAAGTCCAAGCCCCTCGCCCACAAAACCTCCTTTACCCCCTCTCTCCAACCCTTTCGAGGACAACCCCTACCCCGCCTTCCTTCCCCTATAGATTTATATGCTTTCCATGTCATTCTACTTTGATCCATTCTCTCTATATGACCAAACCACCTCAACAACCCCTCTTCTGCCCTCTGGCTAATACTTTTATTAACTCCACACCTTTTCCTAATTTCCACACTCCGAATTTTCTGCATAATATTTACACCACACATTGCCCTTAAACAGGACATCTCCACTGCCTCCAACTGCCTCCTCGCTGCTGCATTTACCACCCAAGCTTCACACCCATATAAGAGTGTTGGTACTACTATACTTTCATACATTCCCTTCTTTGCCTCCATAGATAACATTTTTTGACTCCACATATACCTCAGTGCACCACTCACCTTTTTTCCCTCATCAATTCTATGATTAACCTCATCCTTCATAAATCCATCCGCCGACACGTCAATTCCCAAGTATCTGAAAACATTCACTTCTTCCATACCCCTCTTCCCCAATTTGATATCCAATTTTTCTTTATCTAAATCATTTGATACCCTCATCACCTTACTCACCAAAAAGAGATCGCAAATACTAGATGATGTTGAGAGTTTGTTGTTAGTGTGGATCAAAAAAACAATTAGCAGGAGATAGTGCTATGCAGTCGATAATGTGTGAAAAGGCAAGGCAGTTGCATGCCAATCTCGTAAAGAAAATGCCTGGAACAAGTGCTGATGTTAGTGAATTTAAGGCCAGCAAAGGCTGGTTTGAGAGATTTAAGAAGTGTAGTGGCACACACAGTGTGGTAAGGCATAGTGAGGCTGCCAGTACTGACAAATGTGCGGTTGAAAAATTCATGCAGGAATTCAAGGACTATGTAGAGGCTGAAGGATTCCTAACAAGTGTTCAGTTGTGACAAAACAGGCCTCTTTTGGAAGAAAATGCCAAAGAGGACCTACATCAGGTTGTTGAAGAGTTGGAGGAGGACCACAATAAAGAGCTAACCACTGAAGAGCTGTAAGACCTTCATCTGCAACAGCAACACACCACAGCTGAGAAAACTGCTTCAGAGGAGGAGGAAGACGCATGGAAGAAGGTGCCTTTTTCAAAGCTTAAGGATATTTGTGCAAAGTGGAGTGAGGTGCAAACGTTTATGGATGAACATTACCCTGACAAAGCTGTTGCAAGCCGTGTCAGCAACATGTACAATGACAATGTCTTGTCCCATTTGAGGCAAATTTTGAAGAGACACCAGAAACAGAACTGTCTGGAACAATTTTTTGAGCGATGGGTCCAGTGACTCTCAAGGTAGTCCTAGTGGCATTACAAAGCAAAGAAGGAAAGTAACCCCGGATAAGGACTTGGTACCTGTAGTCTTTATGTAAGGGGATTCCCCTTCTGAACAATAATGTTACTTCTCAATCCTCTCCCCTCCTCCTGTCTTCCATACACCAACAAGAGTCTTCAATAAAGGTAAGTGTGATATTCTTGTTTTATACTTGATTTCTCATTCTTTTCTGTATATAAATCTATATTTATTCTAAAAAAATAATTTTTGTTAATACTTTTGGGTGTCTGTAATGGATTAATTGGATTTACATTATTTCTTATGGGGAAAACAGTTCTGACATTTGTGAATTCCAACTTTTGGCAGACTCTTTGGAATGGATTAATCACGAAACTTGGGGGTCCACTGTACATATTTATCTACAAGAGCCTTCATCAGCGTTTAATCATATAATATTCCACCCTATTATTCCATCACTATGAAGAAACACTACCTAGTTTTCTTCTAGAACCTCTTGTTTTTTGTTTATAGCTGTGACCTCTTGCTTTCCTTGTTGATGATACTAAGATCTTATTTATCTATTTCGTTCTTTCAACACACCGGCCGTATCCCACCAAGGCGGGGTGGCCCAAAAAGAAAAACCAAAGTTTCTCCTTTTACATTTAGTAATATATACAGGAAAAGGGGTTACTAACCCCTTGCTCTGGCATTTTAGTCGTCTCTTACGACAAGCATGGCTTACGGAGGAAGAATTCTGTTCCACTTCCCCATGGGGATAAGTGGAAATAAACAAGAACAAGAACAAGAACTAGTAAGAAAAATAGAAGAAAACCCTGAAGGGTGTGTATATATATGCTTGTATGCATGCATGTGTAGTGTGACCTTAATGTAGTAGAAGCAGCAAGCTGTACCTGAAATCTTACATGTTTATGAGACAGAAAAAAAGACACCAGCAATCCTACCATCATGTAAAACAATTACAGGCTTTAGTTTTACACTCACTTGGCAGGACGGTAATATATCCCTGGGCAGCTGCTGTCTACCAACTACTACCTAGGTTGTATCCTGTTATGATCTTATCTATTGTTTATAACTTCCTTTTTTTTTTCCTTCTATAAGTCTGAGGGCATTTTGATTTTCACCCTAATTTTGATGTGCTAGTAACTCTCTCTGGCATTTTTTCTATGGTATATAAATCTGTAGTGGAGAAAAGGAGTGGAATGGTCATCATAGGAAAGGTTGGAGAAAGGGGGGAAAAAATAAGGTTTTGTATGTGAGGGACATGGAGATCCAACAGGTATGTGAGAGCATGTTAGATAGGAGTGAGTGAAGGCGAGTGGTTTTTATAACTAATGTGCTGTTGGAATGTGGGTAAGAACATTTATGAAGGGATTCAGGGAAACCAATTTAGCCAGACTTGAGTCCTGAAGTGAGAAGTAGTGACTGCATTCTGGAGGAGGGAAGGATGTTACAGTATGGAGGAGTATCTGAGCTGTGATGTCATCATGTCTGGCAAGAATGAAGGAGTGAGTGATGGGTCACCCTACTTCACTGGGAGACAGAAAAAAATCCACTGAACTAGGAAGAATGCTCAAATCTCACTAAGAGGAGTAATCAACAGAGAACTTGTGGAACTGTTGCAGTGCAGTGAGACCAACAAAGACTGCAATACTGAAACAGTTATTTGTTAATGGTTCCACAGATCATAACCCATGTCCAGGTCTACGACCAGGCCCCCTAATTTGAAAAGACAACACAAAAACAATATACTGATAAAGCTCCTTGCTTGCTTATTAATTGATGACACCACTGTCTGGCACTATATAAGCTTTGTTGTATGTCACTATTTTTATTTTATAAAGAAGCTGTTTTAGAAAACACCAAATACAGTGGTACCTAGGGATACAATTTATTTCATTCCAAAAGGCTGTTCAAGTGCTGACACCGAACGAATTTATTCCCACAAGGAATAATGTAAATTAGATTTATCCGTTTCAGACCCCCAAAAATACACTTACAAAAGCACTTACATGAATACACTTGCATAACTGTTCGAGTTTTGGGCTGTTCGTATCCCGAGGTACCACTGTAAACTAAAGCTCCTTCATTACATTAAAATACAACAGCAAAGGTACAGAGCAACTTTTATTATATCAAATTTCATTAAGCATAATGTTGTCACAATTAAAGCTTGCTCTGCACCCATGTCTTTTCTTTGAAGCATATGGAATGAACCACTCAAATGATCTTACTTCTAATTACAGTACAATCATTCTTCACTATCTCTGCCCATATAGCAACTGTGTATCTAATAACCACAACCAAGCTTTTAACCTTAGATTTTTCAGCACTTCTACTTGCAATGCCATCCACCACCTAATATATAACATTATAATGTACTCTTTAGTTAATAATCTCTAAACACATTATGTTCCAACATCTCCCTACCATCTACATTACCACTCTCTTGCCATCTACAAAGAAAGACACAAAGTACTTCTGTTCTAATTCTACTCTTCTTACCTTTGCACACTCACTGAAAATTCTAAAAGTCTACAGGAATAATCTGTTTAGAAAATCTCCTTACTGGATGTCTGAATCCTCGGGGTCTGCTTTCATTACCATTAGATCCATAATTTGGTCCCCAGGAGCCAACGACAACACCAGCCACTTGAAGCTGACCACCACGAGAAAACATTCTTCCTACTCCTCCACCACCATCTGTAATTAGTAAAATAATATACTGCCAAAATAGGCCAAGATGGTAGTAGGTAGTAGGTTGGTAGACAGCAACCACCCAGGGAGGTACTACCGTCCTGCCAAGTGACTGTAAAACGGAAACCTGTAATTGTTTTACATGATGGTAGGATTGCTGGTGTCTTTTTCCTGTCTCATAAACATGCAAGATTTCAGGTATGTCTTGCTACTTCTTCTTACACTTAGGTCACACTACACATACATGTACAAGCATATATATACACACCCCTCTGGGTTTTCTTCTATTTTCTTTCTAGTTATTGTTCTTGCTTATTTCCTCTTATCTCCATGGGGAAGTGGAACAGAATTCTTCCTCTGTAAGCCACGTGTGTTGTAAGAGGCGACTAAAATGCCGGGAGCAAGGGGATAGTAACCCCTTCTCCTGTACAAATTACTAAATTTAAAAAGAAAAACTTTCGTTTTTCTTTTTGGGCCACCCTGCCTTGGTGGGATACGGCCGGTTTGTTGAAATAAAAAAAAAAAAAAAAAATGCAAGATTTCAGGTACATCTTGCTACATCTACTTACACTTAGGCCACACTACACATGCATGTACATGTTTATGTATACACACTCATGTGAGTTTTCTTTGATTTTATCTTAACAGTTCTTATTCTTAATGCTTTTTCTTTCATATCCATGGGGAAGTGGAATAAGAATCTTTCCTCCGTAAGCCATGCATGTTGTAAAAGTCAACTAAAATGCCAGGAACAATGGGCTAGTAACCCCTTTTCCAGTATAGCTTACTAAAAAGAAAAAGAAGAAAACCATCGAAGTGGAATATATGAATGTTTGTGGATGTTGTGCAAATGATAAGAAAGAGATGACTGTGGATGTTATGAATAAAAAGAAGCTGGATGTCCTGACTAAGTGAAACAAAGCTGAAGGGGATAGGAGAGTTTCAGTGGGGAGAAATAAATGGGATTAGGTCTGGGGTTTCAAATCGAGTTGGAGCTAAAGAAGGAGTAGCAATAATGTTGAAGGATAAGTTATGGCAGGAAAAGAGGGAATATAAATGTATAAACTCAATGCATCACTCGCCTTTTTCCTTCATCAATTCTCTGGTTAACCTCATCCTTCATACATCCATCCGCTGACACATCAACTCCCAAATATCTGAAAACATTCACTTCCATACTACTCCTCTCCAATTTTATATCCAATTTTTCTTTATCTAAATCATTTGATACCCTCATCACCTTACTCTTTTCTATGTTCACTTTCAACTTTCTACCTTTATACACACTCCCAAACTCGTCTATTAACCTTTGTGACTTTTCTTTAGAATCTCCCATAAGCATTCTAAAGAAAAGTTGCAAAGGTTAGTGGACGAGTTTGGGAGAGTGTGTAAAGGTAGAAAGTTCGAAGTGAACATACAAAAGAGTAAGGTGATGAAGGTATCAAATGATTTAGATATTGGAGAGTAAAAAAAAAGGTAAAAAAGAAAGGTGAAGAAAGTGGTGAGAGAGTGCAAAAGGAGAGCAGATGATAGAGTGGGAGAGGCACTGTCAAGAAATTTTGCAGAAAAAGAGAAAAAATTTTTGATTGAGAAGAACAATTTTAGAAAACCTAGGGAAAGAAGGTTAAAAACAGAGTAGGGGAGTAGTAGATGGGGAGCTGGAGGTATTGGGTAGAACGCGGGAATGTTTTGAGGAACTTTTAAACGTCAATGAAGAAAGGAAGGCGGTAATTTCATGCACCGGCCAGGGAAGTATCACATCTTTTAGGAATGAAGAGCAGGATGTGCGTGTGAGGAAGGTGCACGAGGCATTACTTAGAATGAAAGGGGGTAAAGCAGCTGAAACTGACGGGATCATGACAGAAATGTTAAAAGCAGGGGGTGATACAGTGTTGGAGTGGTTGGTATTTTTGTTTAATAAATGTATGAAAGAGGGGAAGGTGCCTAGGAATTGGCAGAGAGCATGTATAGTTCCTTTATATAAAGGGAAGGGGGACAAAAGATTGTAAAAATTATAGGGGAATAAGTTTACTAAGTCCTAGGTAGTAGGTTGGTAGACAGCAACCGCCCAGGGAGGTACTACCGTCCTGCCAAGTGAGTGTAAAACGAAAGCCTGTAATTGTTTTACATGATGGTAGGATTGATGGTGTCCTTTTTTCTGTCTCATGAACATGCAAGATTTCAGGTATGTCTTGCTACTTCTACTTACACTTAGGTCACACTACACATACATGTCTTCTTTCAACACACCGGCCGTATCCCACTGAGGCAGGGTGGCCCAAAAGGAAAAATGAAAGTTTCTCCTTTTACATTTAGTAATATATACAGGAGAAGGGGTTAATAGCCCCTTGCTCCTGGCATTCTGTTCCACTTCCCCATAGAGGTAAGAGGAAATAAACAAGAACAAGAACTAGAAAGAAAATAGAAGAAAACCCAGAGGGGTGCGTGTATATATGCTTGTACATGTATGTGAAGTGTGACCTAAGTGTAAATGAAAGTAGCAAGATGTACCTGAAATCTTGCATGTGTATGAGACCGAATAAAAAGACACCAGCAATCCTATCATCATGTAAATCAATTACAGGCTACACATACATGCACAAGCACATATATACACACCCCTCTGGGTTTTCTTCTATTTTCTTTCTAGTTCTTATTCTTGTTTATTTCCTCTTATCTCCATGGGGAAGTGGAACAGAATTCTTCCTCCGTAAGCCATGCGTGTTGTAAGAGGCTGCTAAAATGCCGGGAGCAAGGGGCTAGTAACCCCTTCTCCTGTATATATTACTAAATGTAAAAGGAGAAACTTTCATTTTTCCTTTTGGGCCACCCCGCCTCAGTGGGATACGGCCGGTGTGTTGAAAGAAAGAAAGAAGTTTAATGAGTATACCAGGTAAAGTGCACAGTAGGGTTATTATTGAAAGAATTAGAGGTAAGACAGAGAGTAAGATTGCAAATGAGCAAGGAGGCTTCAGAGTGGGAAGGGGATGTGTAGATCAAGTGTCTACATTAAACCATATATGTGTACAATATCTACATAAAGGCAAGGAAGTTTTCATTGCATTTATAGTTAGAAAAGGCATATGATAGGGGAGCAATGTGGCAGATGTTACAAGTGTATGGAATAGGTAGTAAGTTACTAAATGCTGTAAAGTTTTTTTATGAGGATAGTGAGGTTCAAGTTAGGGTGTGTAGGAGAGAGGGAGATTACTTCCCGGTAAAAGTAGGTCTTAGACAGGGATGTGTAATGTCACCATGGTTGTTTAATATATTTAAAGATGGGGTTGTGAAAGAAGTAAATGCTAGGGTGTTCAGGAGAGGGGTGGGATTAAATTATGGGGAATCAAATACAAAATGCAAGGTGACACAGTTACTTGCTTTTTGCTGATGATACTGTGCTTATAGGAGATTCTAAAGAAAAGTTGCAAAGGTTAGTAGACAAGTTTGGGAGTGTGTGTGAAGGTAGAAAGTTGAAAGTGAACATAAATAAGTGTAAGGTGATGAGGGTATCAAATGATTTAGATAAAGAAAAACTGGATATCAAATTGGAGAGGAGGAGTATGGAAGTGAATGTTTTCAGATATCTGGGAGTTAACTTCTCAGCAGATGGGTTTATCAAGGATGAGATTAACCATAGAACTGATGAAGGAAAAAAGGCGAGTGGTGCATTGAGGTATCTGTGGAGACAAAAAAACGTTATCCATGGAGGCAAAGAGGGGAATATATGAAAATATAGTGGTTCCAACACTCTTACATGGGTGTGAAGCTTGGGTTGCAAATGCTGCAGCGAGGAGATGGCTGGAGGCAGTGGAGATGTCCTGTCTAAGGGCAATGTGTGGTGTAAATATTATGCAGATAATTCAGAATGTGGAAATTAGGAGGTGTAGATTTAATAAAAGTGTTAGTCAGAGGGCTGAAGAGGGGTTGTTGAGGTGGTTTGGTCATTTAGAGAGAATGGATCAAAGCAGAATGACCTGGAGAGTGTATAAATCTGTTGGGGAAGGAAGGTGGGGCAGAGGTCGTCCCTGAAAAAGTTGAAGGGAGGGGGTAAAGGAGGTTTTGCGGGCGAGGGGCTTGGACTTCCAGCAAGTGTGCGTGAGCATGTTAGACAGTAGTGAATGGAGACGAATGGTTTTGGGGACCTGACGAGCTGTTGGAGTGTGAGCAGGGTAATATTTACTGAAGGGTAGTAGGTTGGTAGACAGCAACCACCCAGGGAGGTACTACCGTCCTGCCAAGTGAGTGTAAAACGAAAGCCTGTAATTGTTTTACATGATGGTAGGATTGCTGGTGTCTTTTGTCTGTCTCATAAATATGCAAGATTACAGGCATGTCTTGCTACTTCTACTTACACTTAGGTCACACTACACATACATGTACACGTTTATTTATACACACTCATCTGAGTTTTCTTTGATTTTATCTTAATAGTTCTTGGTCTCATTACTTTTCCTTTTATATCCATGGGGAAGTGGAATAAGAATCTTTCCTCCGTAAGCCATGCGTGTTGTAAAAGTCAACTAAAATGCCGGGAACAATGGGCTAGTAACCCCTTTTCCTGTAAAGATTACTAAAAAGAATAAGAAGAAGAAAATTGTCAAAGTGGGAAGTCTGAATGTGCATGGATGTTGTGCAAATGATAAGAGAGAGATGATTGTGGATGTTATAATGAGAAGAAACTGGATGTCCTGGCTATAAGTGAAACAAAGCTGAAGGGGGTGGGAGAGTTTTAATGGAGAGGAATAAATGGGATTAGGTCAGGGGTTTCAAATAGAGTTAGAGCTAAAGAAGGAGTAGCAATAATGTTGAAGGATAAGCTATGGCAGGAAAAGACGGACTACAAATGTATAAATTCAAGGATTATGTGGAGTAAAATAAAGATTGGATGTGAAAAGTGGGTTATAGTAAGCGTGTATGCACCTGGAGAAGAGAGAAGTGTAGAGAGAGAGAGAGAGAGAGAGATTGAGATTCTGGGAAATGTTGAGTGAATGCATGGGGAGTTTTGAATCAAGTGTGAGAGTAATGGTGGTTGGGGATTTCAATGCTAAAGTGGGTAAAAATGTTATGGAGGAAGTAGTAGGTAAATTTGGGGTGCCAGGGGTAAATGTAAATGGGGAGCCTTTAATTGAGCTATGTGTAGAAAGAAATTTGGTAATAAGTAATACATATTTTATGAAAAAGAGGATAAATAAATATACAAGGTATGATGTAGCACGTAATGAAAGTAGTTTGTTAGATTATGTATTGGTGGATAAAAGGTTGATGGGTAGGCTCAAGGATGTACATGTTTATAGAGGGGCAACTGATATATCGGATAATTATTTAGTTGTAGCTACAGTTAGAGTAAGAGGTAGATGTGAAAAGAGGAAGGTGGCAACAACAAGTAAGAGGGAGGTGAAAGTGTATAAACTAAGGGAGGAGGAAGTTCGGGTGAGATATAAGTGACTATTGGCAGAAAGGTGGGCTAGTGCAAAGATGAGTAGTGGGGGGGTTGAAGAGGGTTGGAATAGTTTTAAAAATGCAGTATTAGAATGTGGGGCAGAAGTTTGTGGTTATAGGAGGGTGGGGGCAGGAGGAAAGAGGAGTGACTGGCGGAATGATGAAGTATAGGGTGTGATAAAAGAGAAAAAGGTAGCTTATGAGAGGTTTTTACAAAGCAGAAGTGTTATAAGAAGAGCAGAGTATATGGAGAGTAAAAGAAAGGTGAAGAGAGTGGTGAGAGAATGCAAAAGGAGAGCAGATGACAGAGTGGGAGAGGCACTGTCAAAAAATTTTAATGAAAATAAGAAAAAATTTTGGAGTGAGTTAAACAAGTTAAGAAAGCCTAGGGAAAGTATGGATTTGTCAGTTAAAAACAGAGTAGGGGAATTAGTGGATGGGGAAAGGGAGGTATTAGGTAGATGGCGAGAATATTTTGAGGAACTTTTAAATGTTGAGGAAGAAAGGGAGGTGGTAATTTCATGCACTGGCCAGGGAGGTATACCATCTTTTAGGAGTGAAGAAGAGCAGAATGTAAGTGTGGTGGAGGTACGCGAGGCATTACGTAGAATGAAAGGGGGTAAAGCAGCTGGAACTGATGGGATCATGACAGAAATGTTAAAAGCAGGGGGGGGATATAGTGTTGGAGTGGTTGGTACTTTTGTTTAATAAATGTATGAAAGAGGGGAAGGTACCTAGGGATTGGCGGAGAGCATGTATAGTCCCTTTATATAAAGGGAAAGGGGACAAAAGAGATTGTAAAATTATAGAGGAATAAGTTTACTGAGTATACCAGGAAAAGTATATGGTAGGGTTATAATTGAAAGAATTAGAGGTAAGACAGAATGTAGGATTGCGGATGAGCAGGGAGGCTTCAGAGTGGGTAGGGGATGTGTAGATCAAGTGTTTACATTGAAGCATATATGTGAACAGTATTTAGATAAAGGTAGGGAAGTTTTTATTGCATTTATGGATTTAGAAAAGGCATATGATAGAGTGGATAGAGGAGCAATGTGGCAGATGTTGCAAGTATATGGAATAGGTGGTAAGTTACTAAATGCTGTTAAGAGTTTTTATGAGGATAGTGAGGCTCAGGTTAGGGTGTGTAGAAGAGAGGGAGAATACTTCCAGGTAAAAGTAGGTCTTAGACAGAGATGTGTAATGTCACCATGGTTGTTTAATATATTTATAGATGGGGTTGTAAAAGAAGTAAATGCTAGGGTGTTCGGGAGAGGGGCGGGGTTAAATTATGGGGAATCAAATTCAAAATGGGAATTGACACAGTTACTTTTTGCTGATGATACTGTGCTTATGGGAGATTCTAAAGAAAAATTGCAAAGGTTAGTGGATGAGTTTGAGAATGTGTGTAAAGGTAGAAAGTTGAAAGTGAACATAGAAAAGAGTAAGGTGATGAGGGTATCAAATGATTTAGATAAAGAAAAATTGGATATCAAATTGGGGAGGAGGAGTATGGAAGAAGTGAATGTTTTCAGATACTTGGGAGTTGACGTGTCAGCGGATGGATTTATGAAGGATGAGGTTAATCATAGAATTGATGAGGGAAAAAAGGTGAGTGGTGCGTTGAGGTATATGTGGAGTCAAAAAAACGTTATCTATGGAGGCAAAGAAGGGAATGTATGAAAGTATAGTAGTACCAACACTCTTATATGGATGTGAAGCTTGGGTGGTAAATGCAGCAGCGAGGAGACGGTTGGAGGCAGTGGAGATGTCCTGTCTAAGGGCAATGTGTGGTGTAAATATTATGCAGAAAATTCGGAGTGTGGAAATTAGGAGAAGGTGTGGAGTTAATAAAAGCATTAGTCAGAGGGCAGAAGAGGGTTGTTGAGGTGGTTTGGTCATTTAGAGAGAATGGATCAAAGTAGAATGACATGGAAAGCATATAAATCTATAGGGGAAGGAAGGAGGGGTAGGGGTCATCCTCGAAAGGGTTGGAAAGAGGGGGTAAAGGAGGTTTTGTGGGCGAGGGGCTTGGACTTCCAGCAAGCGTGCATGAGCGTGTTAGATAGGAGTGAATGGAGACGAATGATACTTGGGACCTGACGATCTGTTGGAGTGTGAGCAGGGTAATATTTAGTGAAGGGATTCAGGGAAACCGGTTATTTTCATACAGTCGGACTTGAGTCCTGGAAATGGGAAGTACAATGCCTGCACTTTAAAGGAGGGGTTTGGGATATTGGCAGTTTGTAGGGATATGTTGTGTATCTTTATACGTATATGCTTCTAAACTGTTGTATTCTGAGCACCTCTGCAAAAACAGTGATAATGTGTGAGTGTGGTGAAAGTGTTGAATGATGATGAAAGTATTTTCTTTTTGGGGATTTTCTTTCTTTTTTGGGTCACCCTGCCTCGGTGGGAGACGGCCGACTTGTTGGAAAAAAAAAAAAAAAAGGGAAACTGGTGATTTTAACATACAGCCAGACATGAGTACTGGAAATGGGCAGTACAATGCCTGCACTCTGAAGGAAGTGTTTGGGATATTGGTAGTTTGGAGGGATATGTTATATATCTTTATATATACTTCTAAAATGTTGTATCTGGGTGCCTCTGCAAAGACAGTGATTATGTATGAGTGAGGTGAAAGTGTTGAATGATGATTAAAGTATTTTCTTTTTGGGGACTTTCTTTCCTTTTGGGTCACCCTCCCTTATTGGGGGACAGCCGACTTGAAGAAGGAAGAAAGAAGGTAAAAAAAAAAAAAAAAAAAAAAAAAAAAATAGATGGAGAACTAGTTATAAGCCTGCCTAAATGGTACAACTCTCCAAACTTTCCTCTTTCCTCTTTGGTTCCTCTTATTTTCCTCTTCCACTTTCCCACCTGTTTGTTCAACTTTTCTCTTCTACTTTTACTCCTCTCCTGTTCTTCCTATTCCCCTACTTTCCACCTCTATTCCTTTTATGCTCTTGGAGTAATTCAATCTTTGAACCTCATTACTTATAGAATCTAATTTCTCCTCTGATCACTAATTTCATCATCCTTTCTCAGAAGCCAATTGCAAAATCTCCCACATTCTGGCAATCCTGCAATATGAAAAGACTACTATTATTTATAAATGGTTTTCCCTCCTTGGTGTAACAAAACAAAAAAAAAAAGGCCTGCAGTTTCAACAGAAGAAGGGTATATATTAAAAAAAAAGGGGTAAAAATATAACCTTAAATCAATATTTATGAGAAAAACACTAACAGTATTTTATTTCAAGGGTCATATGTCTATAACACTAAACAATACCACAAAAATATCACATCTCTCTGCCTTTTAACACTATCCATTTCCCACCAATGTAGGGTGATCACCATCTCCCCCACACCAAAATTAGTACAGATTCATACAACTGACTCAAGTGTCCTTCAATGTATACATGTCTGAGCATGAGAAAATGAAAACTATGTAAGAGATTAACCAGCTTAGGATACCAGCAGTAGTAGGATTAGCAGTAGTAGTAGAAATGCTAAGCAGTATTAGTAAGAGTAAGATTAGGTTCAACCCTTCTCCTTTCCTATTAAATTTCCAAGCAGATTTTTCAACATGGCTTGCAGTTACATTATGAATTTTTCCTGGAGGGATTGTGCTGGGGCAAATGGTAGCAGGTTAAGTCTTTTTCTTTCCTGATACTTTTGTAGCAGTGCCAGTGACAGTAATGCTGTTTTCCTAGGAGATAACCTTAATACAGGACAAATATTTTAATTCCTAAATGTTCTATGTACGAACAATTAATTGCAGCATGCAAATTATAAAAGAATTCCATTTCTCTACCTGTATAATCTACTAAGTCTATTTAACTACTTATTTTCATTAACAGTACTATATATTTTCAATATGACATTACTGCACATCTAATTATCTGCTCCCAGGCACCTTATTTTAGGTATAGTATTTTGGCTCACTTGGTAAACCAAAGTATAAAACTGCCAGCTAATAATCAATTGCTATTAACTCCATCAATTTCAGATGGCTGAGGATAAGAAGACTGCAAAAAGTTTGTCAAACTGCATAATCCTTACCCGAGTGTGTGTTGGTCCTATTTGGTGCCCCTCGTCCTCTACCCCTGCCAGCGTAGTGTGAAAAACCAGGATATGGAGGAGGGGGGCCTACTTTATGAGTCCCAACCCCAGGCATTGGTGGGATTGGTGGGTGAGCAAATTCTACCCTTAGACCCTCCAGAACTGCCTGTCTGCATCTTTCAACTTTGGCCACCAGGTCTATTTCTCCATCACACACCTAGAGGAAGCAATTGACTAACATCAAATTTTTTATACGAATAATAAAATTATTGGCAGCCAATTCTCAAATTTAAAAACCCTAACAAATTAATTATAATCTTTGTAAAAAAAAAATTGTTTAAAACATTTTTTCTAATATGAGGGTCCTACTTATTAGAGAATTTTTTCAAATGAACACCAATAGGAAACCCTGAACTATAATCTATTAATGTCAACTATCTCTCTTCTACCATTATTCCTTCAGCAGATGATCCTCATAACTTCCATCTTTTAGAAAAACTGTACCTATCTAAAGTATTTGTTTTTTTTATTTTTAGCTCAGTCAGCTAAAGTAATGCTACACTTGAAAAATCAATGGTAAATAGACACTAAACGTAGTCAACTCCTTACTCGTAGTACAACATTTCACCCATGAGTGAGCTTTGCTAAGTACAATATATGAAACAATGAGAAAACATTCAGCTTATATAGGGTAAAAAAAAAAAATGGCACAATACCATCACTGGAACAATACACAAATAACCCGTACACAGGAGAACAAAACTTATGACAACATTTTGGTCCGACTTGAACTAATTAACAGTCCAAGTCAGAATGAAACGTCATGTATCATCCTCCTATGCGTGAGTTATTGGTGTATATAGGGTACCCGGGGTAGGTCGTTTGGTGTAGTTTTTAAATAATAGATGAGACAAATACAAGTGAGAAGGGTTGGATATGAGTTAGAGCTGCCTAGCAAGGGCCAGTTTTAGAGTTTGAATAGTTATACTGCAAGAGGCCTACTGGTTCACGTTATGTTTCCTTCATTACTGGATGAGGTGTGCTATGCAAGTTGCCAAAGTGAACCTACCACAAGTTTGTTTTGTGTATTATTTAGATTGTAGATGACCCATAATGCTAATGTTTAGTCACGTAATTTTCATAAAATATTAGCCTGGGGTTCACTTCAGCAACACATCTCAAACCAAATATAACTCAACAAAAAAGCAGCTCGAAACAAATTCTACCAATAGGCAACACACAATGTCCTTAGTGAAATCCTTAAAATTTTTTTTCTTCCTAAACATGCTAAGCATAAATGAAATTAATGCTTGCTTACTACTGTTCATTCCACATGTTCAAAACATTGCAGTGTAATGCTGATGCTGAACTTGAGCAATATTGTTTTTTCCATATGAGCACAGATGCTTCAATATAATGTACTGAGCTTTACTACTTTCATTACATATAGTCTCAGTTATTACGTTAAATGCCACTTAATACTGTAAAAAAATGAAAATGAAAACTTAATTTGACTGGAATTTTGCTCCTGTTAATTTTCCTTATCATCATGTACCATGCTACACTTTTCAACTACTTTCATAAACATTTGTTATTACACTATATTCATTAGCATTAAGTTTATGTCCTTTACACAAATATATATGTGAATTATGCATTGTTCTTTCACTTTAATGCTAGATTATGGCTTGCCCAGAATTCTCTGCATAACCAGAGGCTTTCCATATGCTATATCAAATGGCATTCAATTTTGAAAAAACTATGTAACATGTGGAGATAAAATTTTATTATTAGCATTATTATTACTTACCTCAACCAAAGATCTTGCACAATTTGCTCGGATCAACTTTGCATGGAAGAGCTTGCCATCAAAAAACAACCATGGACAACACATGAGCCAGGGAACTGGAGCACCACAAGCATCATTGGCAAACAAAGCAGTTTCCACTCCCATCATGAAGAGAGCTGCAAGCTGACAGCCACGTGCTGTCACCAGAGGAAGCTGTCAAAAAGGTGAGGCATTCATGTGAAGTCTTAATTTATTTTCTTCTTTCTATTATCTTACAACTCTATACACATTTTTTCTTTATGTAAAACTTCGTTACTTGCTTTGTGTATATGATTCTGATTATTTTCTTTGACAAATGATCGTTTTTTTACCCCAACGGCTACCTAACACCAAGCCAGGGTGACCCAAAAAATAAAACACATTCATGACATAATACAGTGGTACCTTCACTTACGAGTTTAATTCGCTCTGTGACCCAGCCCAAAACTAAATTTTCCTCAGTGAAATTAATTGAAATGCTATTAATCCATTCCAGCCCCAAAAAAACCACCCCATTTTTTTTTGTTATGGGTTGTTAAATAAGAAAAATGTATTTATAAATAAGAAATGATTTTTGCCTTTTGTGCCTGTTATGGGACTATGGGACCCAACATGTATTGATGTATATAAGTGACAGTTACTCTGGAATACCTAATTATATTGAATTGATGAGGAAACAACACCAAATGGCCCTAAGGGAAGATCACTCTTAGGGACTGAGAGGCAGCTGGGTCAAGCCTGTTTTTCTCAATGTAATAGGTTATACTATAGACACACAGATTTAAATAAGTAGTTTATAAAGTTGTATTTTTGTAAAAGTAAAGTGTGGAAATGGGAAACATTATTGTGGTAACTAGAGAATAGTGCTTGGCAACAGTCTTTCGTTTGGTGGGTGTGGGAGGAGCTTAGCTGGGCCCCTCCCTCTCGCTCACTCTCCTTGGTGGCATTATGTGTGTGTACCTTAAGTTGTAGCCACCATACCCAGGGTGACTAAAATGTGTCAAAACACTGGTTAGTCCAGAGGAAAGAAGGGCTAATTATTTCAGATGCACTATGTGGGCTGTCCTAGGGTAGCAGCTAAGGGGTGTGCAGGCTTATGTTTTGTATATTCTGTATATATCTATTTTTTGTAATAGTAGTTTAAATAACCTGTGAAGAGGGCTGGAGAAAGGATTTCAAAGACACTGAGGAGGATCAAACATGAAAGTAAGTACGGTGGTCCCTCGTTTATTGTTGTTAATCCGTTCCTGGAAGTGTGATGATTATCGAAACAAGACGATTTTCGAATCAATTTTCCCCATAAGAAATAATGTAAATACAATTAGTCCGTTCCTGACACCCAGAAGTATTAAAACAAAATTTTTTTTACATGAAATATAGATGTAGTACATAAACAATACAATGGGACATGATGAATGAAACATTAACAGCATAACACTTACCTTTATTGGCGATTCTTCTTAGTGTATGGAAGACTGGAGGAGGAGAGAGATTGGATTAGTTACTGCTTGGAAGGGGAATCCCTTTCCATCAACACCTCAGGTACCAAGTCCTTTTCTGGGGTTACATACTTCTCTTCTCTGTTCCTTAATGCCATTAGGACCAGCTTGAGTCACTTGAGCCCTGTCTCGCAAAAAAACTGTCCAGAGAGCTCTGTTTCTGGTGTCTCTTTAAAACTTCCCTAAAATGGGCCAAGACTCTGTCATTGTACAAGTTGCCGATATGGCTTGCAACATCCTTCTCAGGGTGATGTTTCTCCATAAATCTTTCCATCCTACCCCACATTTCAAAGATCTTCTTAATTTCTGAAGAAGGCACCTTCTTCCATCTCTCTTCCTCCTCCTCTGCAGCAAGATTCTGAGCTGCAATCTGTTGCTGTTCCTGCTGAAGCTCTTGCAGCTCCTCAGTGGTTAGCTCTTCGTTGTGATCCTCCACCAACTCTTCCACATTCTCCAAACTCACATCCAACCCCATGGAACTCCCCAATGCCACAATAGATTTCAAAACTGACATAGGCTCATCAGGGTCAGCCACAAACCCTTCAAAATCCCTCGTTTACCTGAAGAGAGTTCCGGGGATCAACGCCCCCGCGGCCCGGTCTGTGACCACGCCTCATGGTGGATCAGAGCCTGATCAACCAGGCCGTTACTGCTGGCTGCACACAATCTGGCAACAATTTTCTCCAAGCAACAACAGCTTCCATGATTTATTTTTTTCTTTGCCACAATGGAAGATATGGTTGTATGGGGTTTGCTATACATCCTGGCCAGTTCGGCCACACGTACACCACTTTCAAATTGTTCAATGATGTTTTTCTTAAATTCAATCGTATTTCTCACCTTTACCAAAGGCTTGGCACTAGGAGCTTTCTTTTGAGCCATGGTAGCTTATTTAGCACTTGCAAGCACTAAAATGAATGGAATACTATTATGAAATACAGTGGACCCCCAGTTAACAAACTTTTTTCATTCCAGTAGTATGTTCAGGTGCCAGTACTGACCGAATTTTTTCCCATAAGGAATATTGTGAAGTAGATTAGTCCATTTCAGACCCCCAAACATACACGTACAAACGCACTTACATAAATACACTTACATAATTGGTCGCATTTGGAGGTGATCGTTAAGCGGGGGTCCACTGTATTTCGTATGAACAAGTGAGGGGACCATCGCTCACTGGTAAACAATGGCACACTGGCTGGGAAGGGAGGCCGAGGTGGCTCAGAGCCGTGAGTAGACGTCTAGGACGAACGATGATTAGCGAGTCAACCAACCATTTGCGAGCCAATGTTTGGACGAAAACAACGAGGTGATTTCCGAAAAGGACGACTATCAAGCTCGACGATTATCGAGGGACCACTGTATTACCCTAGAATGATAAGGCCTTTATGTAAAAGCTACCCCACACTAGAACATGTAGTGAGAACCATACTATCAAAGTAATAATGGACAACAACGTAACATCGCCAGGTCCCAATAATGTTTTAGAAATGCTGGAGTATATATATAAAACTCCTTGACGCACAGTGTAAGATGAGTGTCACTCCACTGCTGACAGTGCAGCAGTGGCGACATTTGTTGACTGTGCACTGCCTTGGCTTTATTTTTCACTGTTACACATAAACATGTTTGTCTATCTGTTTCTGTCTGTATCTGCTTGTTTCTGTGTCTAGCTCTGTCTATGTTTATCTGTCCCTGCTTATCTGCCTTTGTCTCTCTATTTGTCTGTCTAAGAGCCGTTCATGAATCAACAGGTATTACACACGATGCAGTCGTCACCTCTTGACTACTGAACAAGTGAAAATGTGTATTACTTGCCAGTTACGCTTATTATGCCTTATACCTACAAGCATAGTATAGAACATTGTCTGGATCTTTTGGGTTTTCCCAGGTAATTTACACTATGTATAACCGTATTTATGTGTACCTGTGAGATACAGACAGAGACAAACAGACAGAGATAGATACAGATAGACAGGAGATAGAGACAGCCACAGCAAATCAGCCAGCTGGCCACCCAACCAGCTGGCCTGCCAAACATGTATTACACATTCCAGAATTGTTTCTCTTTACTTAGGGCATAGGGCATACATTCTGGCAGGATGACACTACCAGTGGTATTAAAATTGAAAGCACGTTACACTTTTTTTTTTCAACAAGGCGGCCATCTCCCACCAAGGCAGGGTGACCCAAAAAGAAAATACTTTGATCCTTATTCAACACTTTCACCTCACTCATACATAAACACTGTTTTTGCAGAGGTGCCCAGATACAACAGTTTATATATGCTTCTAAAGATATATAACATATCCCTCCAAACTGCCAATATCCCAAACCCCTCCTTTAAAGTGCAGGCATTGTACTTCCCATTTCCAGTACTCAAGTCCGGCTATATAAAAATAACTGATTTCCCTGAATCCCTTCATTAAATATTACCCTACTCGCACTCCAACAGCTCGTCAGGTCCCAAAGACTATTAGTCTCTATTCACACCTATCTAACACGCTCAAGCATGCTTGCTGGAAGTCCAAGCCCCTCGCTCACAAAACCTTCTTTATCCCCTCCCTCCAACCTTTTCGAGGACGACCCCTACCCTGCCTTCCTTCCCCTACAGATTTATACGCTCTCCATGTCATTCTACTTTGATCCATTCTCTCCTAATGACCAAACCACCTCAACAACCCCTCTTCAGCCCTCTGACTACTACTTTTAGTAACTCCACACCTCCTAATTTCCACACTCCGAATTTTCTGCATAATATTTACACCACACACTGCCCTTAGACAGGACATCTCCACTGCCTCCAACTGCCTCCTCGCTGCTGCATTTACAACCCAAGCTTCACACCCATATGAGAAAGTTGGTGCCACTATAATTTCATACATTCCCTTCTTTGCCTCCACAGATAATGTTTATTGTCTCCACATATACCTCAATGCACCACTCACCTTTTTTCCTTCATCAATTCTATGGTTAACCTCATCCTTCATAAACCCATCCGCTGACACGTCAGCTCCCAAATATCTGAAAACATTCACTTCTTCCATACTCCCTCTCTCCAATGTGATATCCAGCTTTTCTTTATCTAAATCATTTGATACCCTCATCACCTTACTCTTATCTATGTTCACTTTCAACTTTCTGCCTTTACACACCTTCCCAAACTTGTCCACTAATCTTTGCAACTTTTCTTTAGTCTCCCATAAGCACAGTATCATCAGCAAAAAGTAACTGCATCAACTCCCATTTTGTATTTGATTCCCCATAATTTAATCCCACCCCTCTCCCGAACACTCTAGTATTTACTTCTTTTACAACCCCATCTATAAATAAGTATATTAAACAACCATGGTGACATTACACATCCCTGTCTAAGATCTACTTTTACTGGGAAGTAATCTCCCTCTCTTCTACACACCCTAACCTGAGCCTCACTATCCTCATAAAATCGCTTTACAGCATTTAGTAACTTACTACACATTGGTTATTATTGAGGTTTTTGATATTTCCTTGGTATCTCCTGCGAGTGGCAGTATAACTGAAGCTAGCTTGTAACTTGAATTTTGGTTTGCAACTCAAAGCAAAAATTCGACCAAGTGACGGCTCATAACTCAAAAAACTCGTAAGTTGGGGCACTCCTAAGTCAAGGTACCACTGTATCTGCAAACGTTTTTA